ATGCTGACTTTTCGTGTAATTGATTATGTGATCTTCCCTTGATTAACTGAAGTTGGTACTGTTACCTTATTTGCCAACTACTATATAAACTCCTCTGATTTACTTCTTGACACACGAACACAAGTTCAAAGAACACACACTCACACTCAAACTCTCTTTCTTTCTCTGCTACTTGTGATAACTCTTGATCTAGCCGGCTGAAAGCCAAGGCAAGATATTGGAACTACACCTGCTTTATATTCTGCACTCATTTCTTCAACTGGTATGTCTCTAGTTAAATTTTGAAACCCAAACTCTATGTGTTTCATTCCTGCACTAGTTCATTGACTATGAATTCAACCTGTCTTCCTTTTTACTTCTTTGCTTAGCATGTCTAAATTTTGTCCTGTTCAATGTATAGCTAGTATGTCTACACTTCACCTGGTTATCTGATACTTGACCAGCATGTTTGTTGATTTCTGTTTAATCCCTTAACTATGTGATCAGGTTTGTATAAAAAAACCACGACCTACACTGGTAGGATTTCAACTTCACTATGAGCAACTTTAGATTAAAACCTATGCAATCTAGGAATTAAACTCATATTCCCTCACTAACTTGTAATACACCTATTACAAGCCACTTTGCAATACACCTATTACAAAGACTTCAATTTATGACTAACTCTAGTCACGACACAACTGAAGGTTTATGATTTACAAGGGGTTCCTAATTAAAGCTTCTAGATAAGGAAAGTAGGAATTACAATGAAGAACAATTACAAAGTTATAACTCAACTAAGGACATACAAGATACTTGCTGTAGGAACTGGTCCGTAGTAGTGTTGTACTTTGTTCTTGATTGCACTCGAGAATTGAATGCTTGATTGATGAACAGTTGGAGTGCTTGAATCAATTCTCGAGTGTTCAAGTGATGTTTTGTTGTAATACTCTTTGTTAATACAACTTGGATGACATCACTTGAATGGTGTAATCACTTGGTTGGTCAAAGGGGAGTGACTGCAGTAATGTGCTGCACTGTTTGTGTGTACAGTGCAGGCAGCCACTTTCCAGCTGTTGACAGTTAACTTCGTATTGCTGTCAGGGAAACACAAGGAGATAAGGTCCCTATGTTGATTCTTTATCTTCTGAAGTCATAGCAACTCACATTAGCTCCGTTGATTGAGTTGTGTACCAAGCGTGTCAGGTCCCTTATCTGGTTCTTTGATAGTAAGTTTGTTAGATCATCAAAACATAAAGCTAAGGTACTGTAAACCCATCAGAAAAAAGCTAGTTTGGAGCTCTTCACGCGCACCAATCAGGTGCATAATAAAATAAGTGCCACGTAAGCTGAAAAGGCGTTATTTATTACATTTTTAACAAATATAAGGGGGCCATAGGATCCTCGCAAAGTTAATGGTGCATCTGACAATTTGCTACAACCCCAATTGGGTACTTATGTATTATCACAAAATAAAAAAGCAAACTTTAGAAGAATTGAAAAGAAAAATTAGTTATAAGGGTAAATGTGTCACTCAAATTTTAAAGGATATTATTGTAAATTAACTTTAACTTAAAGTTTTCATGCTTATAATATAATATAATATATGATCCAGCAAGCAAAAGTATTAGACGTTGATAAAGGAAAACTTCATCAATGTAGTGCACTTGACGAAGCAATAGAGACGAATCCATCAAAATGAGAAGCAGAAGAAAAGAAACATCACATTTAAATTAACTAGGCATATCCTAGATTCAACCCATTAGGAAATTATTATTTATTTGAATTGAGTATTATTTTAAATAATTAGGAATGTCCTTTGGAGTTTATATCTCAATTTTGAGAGAATTTAGTGAAGATTCAAGTTTGTTGAAATTTCATAAAGAATCTCGAAGAAAGAGACACGAACAAATTGTATATATATTTTATTTGTCGGGTGTAGAAACGACATGCAAATATATACAACTAGCATAATTATATATAAGTTGTATGTAAATTATATTTTTTGATCGAAATTTTGTACGGAAATAAATATTTTTAAGTTGCAGGTAATTTGTAGATAAATTGTAAATTTTGACCAAATTTGTATATATTTTGTAAAAAAAACTTTCACTATGTTCTATAAATAGGAAAACTTAAACAAAACTGTGTAAATAAGTCTAAAATCTTGTATATATATAAGAAAAAAAAGAAACATATATGATTAGTTTAAGCCCATAAATTACACTCGTCCCAACGGTTAGGAACCCAACTTCTATTAAAGAGTATATCTTGTTGTACTACTATATAGAAGATTATCTCTAAGATTTTACAGGAGATTTCAGATAGTTATGGATGGATTGGTGGACAATTACCAGTTTGCATTTGTACCAGGGAGGGTAATCACTGATACTGTTATACTCAGTCATGAGTTGGTAAAGGGACATGGGAGAAAAGAGATATCATCAAGGTGTATGATTAAGCTAGACATGCAAAAGGCTTATGATTCCCTCAAATGGAATTACTTGGAGCAAGTTCTTATTGGCTTGAGTTTCATGATAAGTTTGTTAGACGGATCATGAGTTGTGTCCAGAATGTGTCATATTCAATCCTTTTGAGTAAACCAAGAAAACCATTTGAGGTTAGAATAGGACTAAGACAAGGGGACCCCTTGTCCCATTTCTAAATTATGCTGGTTATGAAGTACTCAACTAGAAGCCTGAAGAATTTTGTTTAGAGTAAAAGTTTAATATTTTTTGGTGGGGTGGTGCACCTAGACACCAAGAGATTATGAGTGTGCTATGCTTTTCTACAGGTGTACTGCCTATTAGATATTTGGGGGTTCTACTAAATACAAAAAGAATATTTGTGACACAATGACAACCTCCGCTAGACAAAATGGTGGAAAGAATCACTTCTTGAACTTTAAAATTCCTATCCTATGCAGGTAGATCACAATTGATTAAAAGTGTTATCTTTTCCGTACAAATATTCTGGTCTCAAATTTTTGTACTACCCAAAAAGATTATACAAATGATAGAGGCTGTGTGTAGAAGGTTCCTTTGGATGGGGGGAAATGAAACGTCACATAAAGCTCTCCTAACTTGAGAGAAGGTATGCCATCCTCACTCATCTGGTGAATTTAATATTATGGATATCTATATATGGAATAAGGTAGCATTGAGCAAATGTTACTGGAGCTTGAGCAAAAATAAGGACATATTAGTGATACAATAACTTATTGCTACTATATTAAAGGGAGACAAGTTTGGGATACATATCCAAACCGATATTCTTGGATGATTATGAAGATAACAAAGTCTAAAAAGAATTTTAAATAAGCATGCACTTATTCTAATATTCTAGTCATGAATTCCTTTTTCTAACAAGAAGTTATATTAGAAGGAGAGGTACTTTCCAATTGTTTCTTCGAAAAGACTTGCGTGTAATAATATAGGGTGTCCTAAATGGGTATTCAATTTGACGTTAGTAGCACATAAAAAATTGTACCCAATAGATCGACCAGCCAAGTGGGGTATTGCTAACAATGTGATTTGGCTATTGTGTGAACATGATGATGAATCTGTTGATCACTTATTTTTTTAAGTATAATTAACTCAGAGGGCAAGGAATGCATAAACAGATTATGGGATGGGTGCAACTGTGCAAGAAAAGGAGTAAGCAGTTAAATTTGCAAATAGGAAAAATGCAAAAGTAGAAATATATAGAATGAAGCTGGCATATATGTACTGTTGACTATGTTTGGCAAGAGAGAAATCAAAAAATATTTCAAAGAAGAAGAAGAAATGTTGACAATCCTAGTAGATTAATAGTGCTAAGATATACATTGTTGAGGGAGCCACAACAAGAAGATTACAAAGCACCTGAAAACTATGATGTTCTATCATGGAATTGTCCCGAAGGGTAAGAGTAGAAAGAATAGTATTGACATTTTTATAGTAATGGAGTGTGATGATTTTCTTAGTATTGAATAGACAATATCAGAAATAAAGACACGATAGTAGAATGTTTTAGCAGGATTTTAAAGGCGTATTGCCGACCATCTCTATTTTCTTATTTTGTTATGATTATACATATTTTGCCCTTGATAATAAAAGTTATATATTTACCATAAAAAAAGAGAGCGTATATGATTAGTTATACGAATTACGACAATCTTAATATTATTTATATATCCCATTTAATATGGGATAACAGTCTCAAAATTAGCTATCTCAGATAAAAAATCAAATAATAAAAATACCCTTCTTAAAGCACTTCTTCCAAATTTCTTTAAGAAAACAAATGTTAAATTTTAAGGTAAAAGTGTATCTATGATTATCTTGGAAAAAGTAAATAAGCCTTTTATATTATACTTCATATGTCATATTTTAATATAATTAACCAAACATCTATAGAAAATAATATATTCATTAAATACTTTTATTATTATTATTATTATTATTATTATTATTATTATTTAATTTCTTTCTTATAATCCCACATTATGTTCTGGTATATCCTATTTGAGAACCAAGTCACCCCTCCCCAAAACATCTTGTCGTAGGTTTCACAACAAATTATGTATGAGAAAACAAAATACGAAAATTATTAATTTGATGAAAATATATCTACCATTAAGTTTATCTTTTTCTCTCTTTATATATACATTTTGATATACAAAATTACTATCTTTAGATATATCTATTACATTTGCATAACTACACATCCCACAAATTATGCTCATATTTTTATCTTGGTCCCCCATAAGATAGGTAAAGTCAGGTTGTCCCTAATTAGTTTAATCGTCATTTTTCATAATCTGATTATAAATATTAATGTATTTGTGAAGTTTGTTGGCAGCTAGTTTAGCACTCAACCATACAAAATTTACGGTTTGTAAACAGTTTTTAACAAGTTCAGTAGTATTATGTTGTAAAAATAGATTTTATTTTTTTTTAAATTTTAAAATAGCTGCAGTATATAAAAAAGAAGTAATAGTAGTAACTATTTTTCAATCAGTACTTTGTTTTAGTCCAAATTCGACATGCCGAAAATTAAAATAAGAAAAATGAAATCTCATGAGATACGTCCAAATACCCGTACCCGTGGACTCTCCACTTCCAAAAGCTTTTTCCGTCTCTCTCGCATGGCGTATTTCTGCACTCAGGTTCTATCCACTTCCTTCTTTACTCCCAAACCTCAGGTAAAATCTAATCTCTTCATCTGCCCATACTCCTATTAAAACCTCATGCTAATTTCATAATCTCATGACATATTAAAGTTGGATTTAGCAAATACTAGTAATTTAAATCAACTTTGTTACTCTCTTTACTAATTGTATAATTTATTTAATAATATAAAGTAGAGATAGTGTCTGCATCTGCTGTGGAAAAGCTAAATTCGTTAATTATTTTCTATTTTTTAGATTCCAGTGCTGTTGAATCCAGGCGTAGCTTGCATCAAAAGCTTTCATCAGTATAGGTTTTTGCATATTAAGGCAATGCAAGACGATAAGGTTTCAACACCTACGCCGTCCGATGAGTGCATGGTTAGAGTTCCGCATGTTCTGACGGTTGCCGGCTCCGATTCTGGCGCCGGAGCCGGAATTCAAGCGGATCTCAAGGCTTGTGCTGCTCGGGGAGTTTATTGCTCCACTGTGATCACTGCTGTTACTGCTCAAAACACCGTAGGGGTTCAGGTAGGGGTGTCAATGGTTCGGTTCGGTCGGTTATTTTATAAAATTTGTACTATACCAATTTTTCGATTATTCTATTATGTATAACCAAAATTAGACTTTTTGAAACCATCCCAATCATGTCGGTTTCTCTTCGGCATCGGTATGGTTCGGTTAATTTTCGGTATTATTTTAAATATCATGTAAAATTCACCCGTAGAAGTAGAAGGCAATAACATACATTTTTTTTATAGGACTTAGCAAAACTCTCTAGATATTTTACTGTTCAAAGGGTGATGAATTAAAAAAAATAAAAAATGGCTAGAGTACAGATTCCATCAACTATTCTAGAACAACATAAAATAAACCAGGCAAAGGCAAAGGAAACATATTCAATACATTGTAGTTTGCTACTCATGATTGCTAGACTACTTTGTGTCTTGCTAATAAAGATACTTGAAATAACTTAGTTTAAGTAGAAGTAGCATAATAGGTTTTAGGAATTAGTATTTTGAGTTTAATTACTTGTTGGCTTGTAATAGTTGTCATAATTCCAAGGCCCAAAGAAAAATTTAATGCATAATTATTTTTGAACTTACTAGATAAATATATTTTCCACATGTAAAATTTATTCGGTACGGTTCGGTATTTATTCGGTTTATTTTTATAAAATAAAAAACCCGCACTAATTATCGGTGTGGTTATAGATTTATATAAAAATCTACGGTTTCTTAAAAAGGAAGCCTAGAAATCGGTTCGGTGTGGTGGGTTCGGTCGGTTTAGTCGGTGTTCGGATATTTATTGACACCCCTAGGTTCAGGTATTAAAAGGCTATAGTCTGTTTATGTTTTGCTAGTGTGTTTTCGATTTGTAAAATTTATCGTGGTTTATTCTAGGGCGTGAACATTGTGCCAGAGGATTTTGTGGCGGAGCAGTTGAGGTCGGTGCTTTCTGATATGCATCCCGATGTGGTAAGTATATTATGTTAATGTTACAATGCTCGCATCCATTTGTTGATGTTGTTTATGTACGATATATATTGACTTTGAGCAACTGAAGAGAGTAAAAGTCCCGGTCATTCATAGGGTCATCAATAGTTCTAGCCGAGGCGGGGGATTATGTACATGGAATCAAGTTATGATGCTGCACAAATGGAATATGAGATATTCTTTTCGGAGTATTCATATATTGCTATTTTGATGCTCTTAAGATTTTCCAGCACAGGCTCACTGGTGCTTAACTTTAATAATAGGGGATTACGTTCCCTGTTTACTTCACTCTGTGCTTTCATATGTCTTAATGTTCTCATTGGAAACTGAATTAATCCGTCTTTTTAGTCCAAGTCGTATGTATCTTACTAGTAAGTAATCTAAAGACACTTCCAAAGACCAATGTTGCCTTGTAACCCCTGAGATTATTACAGGAAACAACGAACGCACTAAGAAACTTGGAACTGCCTACCAATAATTGGTATAGATAATTTAGGAGTTAGGACGCAAGTTTGGATGGCTGAAAGTAATGTTGATAGGACATCCCTTATTAACAAAGTCATTGGTTAATTTACTGGTTTCCAAATTATCAGGACCATTTTCTTCAGCCATTCATATTGGTTAAATATCATGCTATTTTTGCTTTTCAGTTTTTTCTGTAAGCGCCAATGTCACCATATATGTGAAATTAATTTGAAGAATTGATTGGCTATTTGGGTCTTGGATACTCAGGGGATAAAAGAGAGTCCCATGTTTGGTTAGCGATTGGGGATCAGATTGTGGCAGGGATTATAATTCCCTTTTATAGGATAATTTTATGCCATGGGAGAGGTGGGATAAATGGTTGTTTGAACAACATTAGCCCACCTCTATACCTGATTCAAATGCTTTATTGATGTCTTCTCGATTGTATATATTGCAAAACTATACATACAACCTGATCCACTATTCAAGATATACATGGAAAGAGTATACCAACATGATCGGGATAAGCAATCTGCAGTTTCCATTAATGTCTCAGTTTGCGTTACAGCACTAAGATTATCTTAGGTGAAAACAGGCATGCTTCCGTCAATTGGCATAGTGAAAACTCTCTGTCAAAGTCTGAAGGAATTCCCGGTACAAGGTACACAATACTTCTTTCTGCTTTTGAAATTTTGACGACGTTAACTATGCTGCTATCAAATGCTTGAAGACAGCCTTGGTGGTTGACCCTGTTATGGTATCCACAAGTGGACATACGTTAGCTGGTCCCTCTATTTTGGATAGCTTTAGGTATGTCATCTGCGAGTGATAGTCTCTCTCCATTTTCCCCGTGTAATCTCAACTGTGGATTTATTGGCTAACAATGTTTTTTTGCTGAATATTCATCTGCCAAATTCATGAAATGTACAACAAGCTGTAAACTTCCTATATGGACATGCTATCTATTGGTATATTGTCGTATGCTTGGATTAAGCTTGAACATCATTATGTTTTTAAAGACCACAGTTTTCGTGTTAATTGCTGGAGCACAATAAATGAAACTTCCTTGATATATGTACTTATGTAATTTTTCTTTTTAAAAAAAAAGTACTTATGTAAGTTTCACATTTTATATGCTGTAATATTTGATTCTTTATGTTTCAACTCGTGTAATCGTATGCCTTGTTCTGATAACAGGGAGGAGCTTCTTCCCATGGCTGATATAGTGACCCCAAATTTGAAAGAGGCGTCCGCTTTACTAGGTGGTGTGCCATTGGAAACAATTGCTGACATGCGCTATGCTGCAAAAGCTATACATGACATTGGTCCAAGGTTAATTTTAATTTTTTTTTTTTTCAAATAGTGAATATTGATGCCTTGACCTTGTATTACGTATGACCAAATTCCATTTGATGGCCAAAAAGTTTATCGAGCGTAGTTCTCAATGACAAGAGAGAAGTAAATACCTTTTAAGTGGGCGTTTGGACATAAGAATTGTAAAATTCCAAAAAAGGATGAAAAAAAATTTCAAGTGAAGATGATATTTGAAATTTTGAGTTGTGCTTGGACATGAATATAATTTTGGGTTGTTTTGAAGTTTTATGAGTGAAAAATTTGAAAAACGGGTTTTTGGAGTTTTTCAAAATTTCGAAAATTTCCAAAATGCATCTTCAAGTGAAAAATTGAATTTTTTTATGAACAAACGTTGATTTCGAAAAAAAGTGAAATTTTTTTGGAAAAAAGGAATTTTTTTTTTATGTCCAAACGGGCACTAAATCATTCGAACCATCATTTGCTATCAAATGTAGCATAACGCCTTATGCCCTCTCCACAAACCCAACAAGCTTGGTCAATCTTGAATTATTGGTGATATATTAGGTAGAGGTAACATCTATGAATTCTACAGTTCGCTTCCACAGGACAAAGCTTAGTACTTGGTTGCATATGGCGCTTAGCAGTTAGCACCCACACTTGCTGTTAGTCTTCATGTTCTGATATTAACTTCGATGGCCCGGGTTTAACAACTTAGCGGCTTCTTCTTGATTGCCGAAAATATGAGGCACAAGTTGCTGATGAGTCGACCAAAAGAACTATGAACTGCTAGAACTATCATCCATTCACTCATGTAGCAAGTAGTTATACACATCTCATATCTGACATCTGCTTATCATTGAAAATGGACAAACAAGATATTCGCTTTTTACCAACAAGGGAAGACTTCAGGAAATCTTCTGTGGATGGATGTACGCCTACTTCATCTTGCTTGGAGGAAAATTAACTTGAGCATGAACTACAGCTGAATAAAATAAAATTAGTAGATGCTTCAAAGAGGAGTTTTAGGGGCTCATTTCTGGATGCTCTAAAAGGAGTTACGTCCATCCTTCTGGAGGCTTCTCCTTGACTTGGGGCTGTGAGAGTGGAGAAGAATGGCTGGCATTTCAAATAGAAGGAAAATGATCTTTTACGGATTTGAAGGCATAAAGTTGTTAAGTACTTAGGCAATAAAGAAATAGGATAACCTACAAACTTGTTCCAGCTCATGCTGGTTTAGTACAAGTTCACAGTGTAGGGAAATTAGGGAAGATCTATAAAAAATAAAAAATTAATGCAATTAGGAAGATGTGTATTGTGGATTCTCTTCTTATTGTGTCACTACTGTATCTCCATAAGGACTTCGTCTTCTAATGTGCTAAAATCTCTTAATTTCTTGGACAGAAATGTACTTGTGAAAGGAGGTGATCTCCCTGCTTCCGTTGATGCTGTGGATGTGTTTTATGATGGTATTTCTAATAATTTCTTAAGATCTTTAGGAATTATCAGTGTGCTTGTTTTGTTCTTATGTGAAAGCTTGCATGATTCTTGAATGCCTATATATGCTCATCCGTATTATGGTCTTTCAATTGATCCTATAGGGAAGGATTTCTATGAGTTTCGGTCGTCACGCATAATGACACCAAATACTCATGGAACTGGCTGCACTTTGGCTTCTTCTGTCGCAGCTGAGCTAGCAAAGGGTTCTCAAATGCTTTCTGCTGTTAAGGTAATTGACTTAGTATGGCATCTGGATATACATAAAATCTATACATTGCTGCAAAATAGATTGTATGTTGGTACAAGCTTAGGATTTTGTGTAAACTTGATGTATAGTGGATAGTGTAACAATGGCTGAGCTTTGACAATTATCAGGTCTCTTATGAGGTGGACATAGACTAAACACTTACGGGTCATCTGGTTGACTATATAAGAAAATAAATCCAAGCATAATTAATACAACATTTTTTTTTCAGCATAAAACTCTGTATCAATAGTATAACCTCAGCATAACTAATACAATTTTATCTACTAGTGTTACTCTGCATGATAGATGCAGCTGCTTTGCATATTAAACTCTGCATGCTAATGCCCACATAACTTATGCAGGATTCTTTGTATTATTTCATGTAGGATAGAAGGTGAAATGAAAATGTGTAGCTAAACACTTAAATACTCTTAATATAGGCAATCCCTACATAAGAATTCCTATATTATTATCATTCAACGTATAACGATCCTACATTATTATTTTTCACGGCATAACAGTCCTTGCACTGTAATTCCTACATCACTAGTCCATGATCCAAATAACCCCTTTAATGTGTAGGTACGAACACTTTACACATAACATTCTGTTCTTTTTTTTGTCCTTCTCCTGTTTGTACCTTTAATGAGGAAGTGGGAGGAGGGGGTCAAAGCATGTCAAATAACTCTGACGTCAGGTAATCAATTCACCCGCCAGCCATCTTGCTCTCTTTTAAAAACAATTGTCGGTGCCTGATAGTCAAAAAGATATATTGTTGGATTCTCTGTTGGTCAAGGAATTTGCTCATTGCTTCATTAAAGTGACTTGTTTGCCAAATGATGCATGTTTTCTTTTATATATATTTTGACGTTTGCCAGGTAGCTAAACACTACATTGAAGCAGCCTTGTCTTATAGTAAGAACATCGCCATTGGAGGTGGGCGTCAAGGTCCCGTGGATCATCTTTTGAAGCTTAAGAGTAATGTGCAGCGACGATCTTTTGATCCTTGTGATCTCTTTCTGTATGCTGTCACCGACTCCAGGATGAACAAAAGGTGGGGTCGTTCAATAGTTGATGCGGTAAAGGCTGCCATAGAAGGAGGTGCCACCATTATTCAGCTGAGGTTTGTGTCTTTGAAATTGGTTCACTTTCTTCCCCTCTTTCAGTCTTCCTTTTGATTCCTTAGAGTAAGAAAGAGCTGACTTACTAAACCTAGGGTGGAGAGATCAATAAACATTAGGACTATCACTACACAAGTTCTACATATCAATATTCTGATGCAGTGGATTTCATGCTTAGGTTGCAGTAGCTTAGCTAATCTTGGGTTACTTTCACTAAAGCCTCAGTCCTATCGTGTTGGACCGAAAGGGAGAGCTTTTAACAGATGTGAGAGAATTGACAACTTTGTGTTAATATAGCTTAAATTTAAATCTTCATGCGCGAAAAACCCATGCATTTTCGAGCTCATAGAATTTCATTAGAAAATTGCTTCGAAGAAAAATGCTCATGCTTAATAAATTTAAAATTCCACTGTAATCATACTGCAGAATAACTGTTGTTTCAATTGCAAAGAAATGGACCTTGGCCTTAACTCACCTAATAAAGTTTTTCCGGTTCTGTGCATTCAAAAGCGACACCAATGGAGAGAAGTGTAATGAAAGATCTCTTATTGACTCTGATCTCTGTGTTCTTGGCCCAAATAAGAGTTATACCCTTTTTACACGTTTGCCTCAACTTGGCATTTTATTCTAAGATATCTTACCGCCATTTTCAGTAGAATCATTGGATATATATAAATGATGTGACTTTATCTACTACAATTGCAGGGAAAAGGAGGTTGAAACTAGTGATTTTCTGGAAGCAGCAAAAGCTTGTTTAAAAATATGCAGAGTTCATGGTGTTCCTCTGCTGATCAATGACAGGATTGATGTAGCTCTTGCTAGTGATGCTGATGGTGTTCATATTGGGCAGTCCGACATGCCTGCTCATGTTGCACGGGCTCTTCTTGGGCCTGACAAAATCATTGGTGTATCATGCAAAACACCGGAGCACGCCCTGCAAGCATGGATAGATGGGGCTGATTACATTGGCTCTGGGGGTGTATATCCAACCAATACCAAAGAGAACAATAAGACGATTGGTTTGGATGGCCTGAAAACTGTTTGTTTGTCATCCAAATTACCAGTTGTAGCCATTGGCGGCATAGGCATCTCTAATGTTCAGGCTGTAATGGGACTAGGGGTCCCTAACCTGAAAGGCGTTGCTGTTGTATCTGCTCTATTTGATAGGGAATGTGTTTTGACAGAGACCAGAAAGCTACTCGAGGTGCTCAAGGAGTCAACCAAATGAGCAAATTGAAGAAATGCTGGAGATCACCACACACTTCCAGGCAAAGCAACCTCAATTTTTGTTACCAAAAGATTTCTTGATTAAACTTTTGAAAGTAAACACGTGTGTGTAGAGAAGTAAATGCAGACACTGGGATTTCGATATCGTTTCATTGATGCCGGTACAGTAGGAGATTGAAACTAAACATTTTCTTGAAGTTCAGTACGTGTTCATTGCCAAGGTTGATGTTTTACTTTGTCTTTCAAGTTTTTTTATTTTTTTTATTTTTTTATTTGGAATTCATGCCTCTCAGAGATATCTGATATCTCTGATCTTAGTCTGTTATATACTCCCTTGCCATTTCAGGTGGATTTTTGTGTTGGTATTGGAGGGTCTCTTGTTAGCTCAATACTTCAGTGGGAGTCCTGGAGATATGTATCTATGTGCAATAATTGCGAAATCTAGTTAATCTCTTGTTTTAGTGATGAAAATAAACTCAAATTTTATGTAGTAGATATAGAGGAAATATTTAATATTTTGTTTGAGATGTTCACAGGCTCGTGCCTGGAAACAACCTCTTGCAAAAATACAGGATAAGACTGCATATAATAGACCCTTGTGGTCCGGCCCTTTTATGGACCTGCGCATAGTGCGAGCTTAGTGCATCGGGCTTGTCTTTTTTGTTTGAGATGTTCATTTACTACTTACAAGTAAACCTAGTATAACTTAATATACCTTGTGTTCTAATAGTTGGACGTTTAATAGCAAATAGTTATAAAATGAAGGATTGTATTTGGGATAAATCCCCCTGCCACCCCCACCCCCAAGAAAAAGTAAAGATAGAAAAGAAAAGAAAAGAAAAGAATGACATGGTGTAAATGATTATAATGTAGCGAAGAATTCGCCACTACTTCCAACTTGCACATGTTCTATCCAGAAAAAGGTCAAAAGACACATTTGCTTGATATAGTTCTAAAATGATTGTTGATCATACCTCGTGAACAATTTGTTTGTTACGTATAGCAACAGAACTCCCTTTCTTTGTTTGGACTTTGGATAGACAAATGTCACAGGATTAAAAGCTTAATTGATTTTCGTGACTCATGTACCAACAATTAATTTGTATCCTCTAACGTTTTAAGCTGGCTTTTATCAATAGAAAAAGACCGTTCTCGTTTTATGGGCAAAAAGAATTCTATGTTGCCATAATGCACTTTCAGCCAACAATTGAGTTTGATATAAGCTGCAATCACCCAAAACAAGAAAACATTTAAAAAAAAGAATAGTGATAGACTGATAGGTTTAGGCCTTTGCCCCTCTACTCCTAGTGGAATCTTTGAACAATAGTAAACCAATTAGAGTCCAAGAAAGCAACTGTACTTTTTTACTTTCTATATATATATTCACGGCCAGAGGCGCATCTAGGATTTCGAGAACATGGGTGCACCACTAAAACGGAAGGGAAATAATTAAGTATTGAACCAAGTGCACTATTCAATCTTTATGAAGTATGGGTGCCAATAGGCAATACATAATACTGGACAAATTCTAGAAAATACATACATACAATACCTAATTTGAGGAGGGACCATGGGTTCACCTGCCCCGTATTGTAGGCTATAGATACGCCCCTGTTCACGGCTCATCTTATTAAAGGAATCGCGTTTCAATTGAAAAATACAGATCAGATGTGACTGCTCTTGTAAGTGTAAATGGAGCTATCAAAGTTTCTCAACATTTGCTTTCCCTCTTACTTGCTATTTTTTCTTAGCAAAAGAACAGTCCACTTTATTTCATTCTCCCGAAAAGGACACCTTAAGATAAAGGGTAGAGCTGTATCATTCAAGAAAAACGTTACTCCAATACTTTAAAAGACCCAAAATTCTAATCCTTCTTATGTTTAAACTTTTTATAAATAATAAAATATTTAATAGGTACAGATCAGTACTTTTTCCATTTTAAATATAAACCAATCCTGATTACTCAGTATCACTATTACAATAAATCTATTCCTAAACATAAAAACAAAAACAGTCAGTTTATTTGGGATAGTTATAAGCTTTATACACTTACATATAAACCTATTTTTAAGATCGACAGATCGCCAAGACTTACAAATGACATGGTTTGGAGGCATGTAACATGTTTTAGCAATTGGTATTCTAACTTATTCAGTCATATGGATATTTTAATTTACAAGGGGCTTGAAGCAAGGGAATCTGTTGTCGCCAACCCTCTTTATATTGACAGCGGAGGTATTGCATGTCTAGAAGCTTGAACTCTTTGAATAAAAATAGTTTATTTTGTGGTTTTGGCGTTGCCTAAATGGATTCCTAATATCAATCACCTCTCATATGCGGACGATACTATATCCCAACATATTAAATCTGGCCACCATGGGCATGAAGCACTTCACCAGTTCTAGCCTTCAAAGCCACAATTCCAACACCCGTTTTGCGAGCATGATCCAGACCTGCATCCATATATAGAAGTATACTTTCTGGACAATGATGCAGCAAAGGCTTGTTAGTGCTGTTCCCAGTGACTACGCTACTACTTGCTACTGCAGCAGCAAACTCATTGTAATAAATGCTTGACCAAAAATTATTAGGCCTTTTTGTTAAACTAATTAAATAAGAAGATAGAGGGTAAATCCTAGTTAAGGATAATTAATTTTAGATGTGAGATGGATAACATGAATAGAAAAATATAGTTGAGTACAAATATTGGCAGTAGTTATGGCCGGATCTAATAGTATGAAAAAAGACCATGCATTAAATAACATTAAATGGCAATAAAATGTAAATAAAGGAGAAAATTCACCCAATCTTGAGTGAGGCGGATTCTCTTTTCATTTGATAAAGATGAATGATTGGAAAATACAAGAATCTTAGGACCCTTTTCGGATCTAATGGGGAGTGTGGGATAACAGATCATCTAATGTCTTTAGAGAGATGTGTTTTTTTTTTTTAATCTTTTCTAGAGATAGAGGGTTTG